CCGATCAAAAGCAACCAATGCCTTGATACAATTCGCCATAGTCATAGAACTGTCGATACCTTCTTTCAGTTTGCCAAAGTAACTCTCCAGTCTGTTGTTGGTGTGATTGTTGAAGTGGGGAAGCGTAGCACGAAGATATAACACCCAACGCTCTGTGCATGAGTGCCAATTCTTCTCGAAATACTTGAAAAAACGATCCATACCACATCTTTCGCAAATGCCCTTTAGAGAATCGTGTGCATCTTCGTATTCTTGTTCACTGGACGCGTATACCATCTTATGAACTGCAGCGTCTATTTGGCTAGCGTCGTCTGATGAAATCTTCCCGAACTCTGGCTTCGAGCGCATCTTCTTGAGATACTTAATAACATGAAAGTGACATATCAGGATCCTGGCCTCAGGGAAATTCGCCTCCAACACGCGTATCTCGTTTAAATCCTTATCCACGACTATCACGCGCAGTAAGTTGATGCGCGTAGGGTGAAATCGTTTAAAATGATCAATGGCTCGTTACATATGCCAGTCTCCATTTGCTTCGATCAGAGACTGTTGAACTACTGCACCCTCGCCAAATTCGTTCATTCCCATGAATGTTAGTAGTTGGTAGTTATACCTACATCATTATCATGAACACATACACGTATCAGTCCTGTTTAAATCCAAGATCATTACCCTTCACATTACACAGACGTACCTATTCGTTTTGTGACTGCAATCAACTAGCAAGACCTCGCAGAAACGCGCCGCATGTGCGCACTTGCAATCGATATAACTCCTGTCTCACCACAATCCGTGTCGGCCACTGACGAAAGGTTCTCATTATCAACTGCAGCAAACAATGCGAGCTCCCTAGCAGTTCCCTCGTTATCGTCAACGTCCGTTGTGGAAGAAGAATAATCACGCACCAGATTGTCTACGTCCGCCTGCACCACATTCTCGTCATGCTCCACGAGGTAGTCGTAAATCTTAGAGCGCTTGGCTCCAACCTCGAGCATACCCTGAACACGCGCTCCTACCAGCGGGTCAAACACTCCACGCGACGATGGGTACGTCGCGAAAGCTGCGGGCGAGACTTGATGGTTGTGTAACCAGACACCATTCTTCACCTGAAGCTCTCGACGCGCCAAATTCCACTGTACCACGAATCTGAAGGGACAGTTTGTCAGCCGGATGTGCTGACGCGGACGGCTGCCCTCACTGCGCGACTTTCTCTTTCCAGCCGTGCGTACAGATGTACGTGCGTTGATACGGGTCAAACTCATTCGGGACCAGCTGATCGTCATCCACACCTTTCTTCGTCTTCTTTAGACGCTTGTTCCTTTCAGCGCAAGACATCGTCTCCTTCACGGGGATGACTTGCATCGAACGTCGTCAGTAGTCGACGAAGTAGCTCTGCCACGCTTTCCAATTAGCGTGGTATTTGACCGGCGGGCTCACTGGCACACTCGCAGCGTCGGTGCTCTGGCTTCCAGGTTTTTCACTATCACCATCCGTTTCTGAAGACCGCACAGCCTCCGTATTTCGCTCATCTTCTACATCCATGTGGGCGCCCGCCTTTACATTCATGATAGAGCTTTCGGGGTCCTGTGTCTGGCTGATAAGGCTTCCTCCGGGCTCTACAGTCCCTTTCGCGTCAACTCCAGCGCTTCTCCGGCACTTCTCACCTCCAGACTCCGCAATAACTTGCGCGTTCGCGACCGCATACACTCCACACAGAGGAGATTCTTCACGCAAGCCTTCCTGCGCAGGCGCGGTGTCCGCGTCTTGCGGAGCAGCATCGCCGGCGTCCCTCGACATCTGACCGGCAAACGGCAGAAACAAATATGAAACCCTCCGAATTTATTATGATCGGAAATAGCAGAGTTTGAAAAGAATTTTATTTTGCAATCCTGGACATGTACAGGATTATAACATGTATAGTTCCATGTAAATAATCATGGCCTCCAACGGTTTCGATTAAATAAACGTACATCAATACGATACCTCTCCAGCGGATATATAGTGAGTAGGTCATCTCTTCAACTCTGACGACGGGATGAATCTCCGAATGCCCAATAAATGCCAACCATTCGGACAATTGCTCGCTCACAAGCAGTTTTTTAGTCCGACGAAAGCCCGTTATCTGACTTCTCAGTAAAAATATGTTCATTATTCTAAAGCTAAGTCCAATTAACAACTTAAGAATGGTAATGTATTACCAGAAACCTAACATCGCCGACTAGAAAAGCACTTTTTCACCTAAAAAGCTTTTAAACGTACAATATCACAAGTAAATACAGGTACAGTAGTATAATACTTTAGGCGCCTTCGATTTCAAACTACTATGCATTGACTAGATGCCATTGAGTTGCAGTACTAAAATTAGTTTAGGTGGTAGCCAATGACAGTGGCCCATGCTCGGGGACCATTGGGATCGCGATCGGAGGCACCGATGGCGACGGTACCGCACGCGCTGGCGTCTGTGGCTACTCTCTCATCGCCGCCGTCTCCTAGTAGTCGCCTCGTGTCTACTTCTATTTGTTGTCTTAAAGCTATGGCAATCCTTCCTGTCTTACCGTCGCCGCCTTGCTTGGAACGTTCCCGAACTCTCACCACACCAGATCCAAGCCTTCACCTCGAGTTTGTGGCTCGAGACGCAGCAATTCAAGCCCAATACTCGTGGGATTGTGCTACCATTATTTGATGACATCGCCCTACTGGGCTTCTCTCTAATCCTGGAGCTTCGACGTCTCCAAGTTCGCCTCCCCGTGGAAATTCCTCACTGCGGAGATTTGAGTCAAAACCTGCAGAAAAAGATGCAAAATCAGGACTCATCCGTGACATTCTACGACGTCTGTGAACGCGCAACTAATGCAGCAATCGAGCAGCGTCAACTCTTCTGTGTAGATCTAGATCACTGCCACCACAAGTTCCGCAGCTTCGACATCAAAGTACTGGCGGTAGTATACTCGCAATTCCAGGAAATCATGCTACTAGACGCAGACACGCTCTTCTTCCAGAATCCCATGACACTATGGGACACAGTCAAGTACAAGAGCACAGGAACACTTTTCTTTAACGACCGTATCAGCTACGACTTGTCGTATCTGGCCAAGCGAACGTCCTCTGATAATATTGGTGCATTGCATCAATTTCTCGCGGACTTTGACGTCTCTCTGTATAGGAATTTCGGTACTTTAGACACAAAACCGAGACCTCAGATACCAAGGCACTACATGGATCTAGATTTTAGTTTCCAACCGAGCGAATTTCTCGTAAACTCGCACGTTTGGGCACTTCGTAGTGGCCACCAAATGGACTCGTCGCTGATGTTGTGGAACAAGGCACGACAGCCACGAGCGACGGTCATTCTGGCGTCTTTTGTGTCGCTAAACGGACTACGAATGGCCCCGTCCTATGGCGATAAAGAGCTCTATTGGCTGGCGTGTGAGTTGGCGGAGACTACGTACGAATTCTCAGACTATGCTGTGGGCTCTGTCGGCTGGGAGCTACTAGCTGAAGGGCGACAAAACGATGGAGTTTTGTGTGGAGACGCACTGCAGCATTACCCGGTGCGGAGGAATTCTGCTGTGGGACTGGAAGCAGATGCTGAGCCGCTGTATATGAACAGTGATAATATCTTGGAGTGGGGTCGAGACTCTCGACGACTGTACCGCACGGCTGCTCGACCTGCAGCGTTCTATCCAGGGTCGTTTACGGAACGGAAGCTGCTTCAGACCTGTCTATTCGACGTGACGATCTTGGAACTCGCGCCGTTGGAAGCGGTGTTACTAGCGCAGAGACAGCAACTTTACGATGAGGTGGCGGGATGGATTGATGAGTCTGGAAGAAAGTGAAATCCGTTTGATTAGACTACACAGAAGCGCTGGCTGTGGGCGGTGCAGTTTTTGATTTGGTGCCGACGGTTTAGAATTCTCAATAAGAGATCTCTATCGCCTACGCTTATGGGAAAGTCTGTGACTCAAGATCAACTTTACTTATGGGATCGATTGGCATTCGTAAGGTTGGTATTGCTACGAGAAGGATAATAGAGATAGATTCGATGCGATTTATTTTATGGATCGAGCTGGTAATGGCCATTGTTCACCTCGAGAAGAGCAGGGTCTAAAATCTTTGGGGGAGCTCTATAGATTTGGGATGCACACGACAACACCCAGCCAGTACAGTACATGTATCTTGAGCTGTGTTCGATCGCGGCTTCTACTTTGAAAGTACCGGTACATGTAATGTATTGCCAGTGGCAATTTGACCGAGGGTGTAAAGTTTTTTTTTGTTTCACGCTTAACACCAATAATTTTTGAAACATGTACTGTTAGTTGTGATCGCGTACGCTGGTCGGCTGAGGCTCTGTGGATCACGTGGAGATTCAATTGCCGTGTTGGATCGAATCAAGTGTGTACAGAAAGCCAACACGATTGCTTTTTGTAGATGAACACCCCCACACTGAAAAAGTGCAACATGGAGCGGCTAACTTGCAAAGCTCTGGCTGAGCTGCGAGACTTAAGTGAGCCAGATCCGCAGCACTTTAGACCGGATATCCTATCTATATGATAGCATTAAATGTTAAGTACTCGATTTATAGCTTAAAGCTTAGTGTCATTGATGGCTATGGGGAGTTCATCTCGCAATACAAATCGTGACAGGGTGTTGTGGGGTACAGAATGACTCCAATGCGGTACATAACGGGAAGCTTAATCTTTCACGTGTGCCGTGACATTCCTTCCAATATCGCTGCAATGTACGTGTAAGTAAACTGCCCTTCTTGTCTCGTCCTGCATAAGTTGAGTAAGTTTTATATTAATATAGTAATAGTAGCGTCAAGATTCCAAATTCCCCACACCAATCGGTCGTAATCATATCTGAGGCAGGGCAAGGTACGGCCGTTCTCAGCATGAGATAGGGAGCTAGATGATACATGCCGCAATCCGCTTATTCTCCAATTCACCGACTCCGGACCATTCAAGCATTTCAGTCGAGGACTCGAAAAGAATTGGCTTACCATGAACAAGTATCTGGTACGAGGCCTCGGCTTCTTCAACGACGCCTACGATCTCTTCGTCATGAATATCGTCAACGTCGTGCTTACGGAGCAATACGGCAAGCACGTCTACACGTCGTACGTCAAGTCCTGGGTGTCGGCTGCTGCTATCATCGGTGCTGTGATCGGTCAGCTCTTGTTTGGCTTCCTGGGTGACGTTTTCGGTCGCAAGGTCAACATGATCGCCACTTGTGTGCTCCTGATCGTGGGTAGCATCTTGTGTACAGTTGCGTATGGAGGTAGCGGCAGTTCGACGCTGTGGTTCCTGGTCGTGGCCCGTATCATCCTCGGTATCGGTATTGGCGGCGAATACCCACTTGCTGCTTCGTCATCGGCTGAAGACTCGACCAACTCGGCTGAGCGTAACACTCGTGTGGCCACAACCTTCTCGCTACAAGGAGTGGGTCAGGTGGTGGCTGCCATTCTGGGCAATCTGCTCGTTGAGGCTTTAGCTGACGGTAAGCCCGGTGAGAACAGCGACTCTCGCCTTGAGACTGTGTGGCGTCTGCTTTTTGCTATCGGCTGCATCCCTGCCGTCGTGATCTGCTACTACCGTATAACTGCGGAGGAGACGGAGGCTTTCAGGGCGATGCAAGAGCGTGCTAACGCCGTTTCTCATGTGGGCGCGGCTAAGAAAGCTCGGTTATCTTTCATTCTCCGTCACTACTGGGTCAGTCTTCTTGGTACGGCCGGCACCTGGTTTCTCTTCGACATCATCTACTACGCCCAGAACCTCTTCTCGGCCAGTATCCTGTCTGTTATCGGAGTCAAGAACTCGTCACTGCAGCAGGTCACCACTATGAACGCGTTCGTGGCGCTGCTGGCCTTACCTGGTTACTATGTGGCTATCTACTTTATCAACAGTCTGGGTCGTAAGAAGATGGCTCTGCAGGGTTTCTTTTTTATGGGCGTGCTTTGCCTCATCCTGGCTATCTTCTGGGATGACCTGCAAGACCAGACTGTTCTGTTCATCGTCCTGTACGGCCTCACTCTGTTCTTCGCCAACTTCGGCCCCAACACGGCCACGTTCGTGCTACCGACCGAGATGTACCCGACTCCGATCCGATCCACTTGCCACGGTATCTCTGCGGCCTGTGGCAAGGGCGGAGCTGCTATTGGATCGTTCGGTTTCTCTATCTGGGTGTCGAACGAAAGTTTTGGCTACGATGGCGCCTTCTACACGTTCTGCGCCATCGCGTTCGTGTCAATTCCACTGACGTGGTTCTGCGTGTTCGACAACAACGTTCCTATTGAGGAGACGGACGCTGAGTTCTACCGCAAGCTTCACGGTGAGGACGCTTTCACGCGTGACTCGTTTGCCTCGAAGGGAGCCGATGCTGACAAGGAGTCGGGCTACAAGGTGTCGTCGACACCCATCTTATCCGCTAAATAGCTTAGAAATTACGAGAATCAATGTATTTCCCGTTTTCAGAATTCAGACTAGCAACTCGTTAATAGCGAGGCATGGATACAGAACAGAACTGGTCTTTTGAAGAAGTCATTTCTGTAATGGAGAATCTCCATCCTGTATTGAGTGTCACCCAAGGTGGTACAGTAGCACACTGTAACGCCGTGACTGGATCCGATTCTCGAGCTACGCTGGTCACTATGGGACTGAATCTCAGCAGATTCGCTGCTTGATGCGTCGCTTGCTTGCTGGAAAAGAGGTTGACTACCGAAATGCGTCGCATCTCACGTAGTTTTGGGTAGTCGCGATTTCTTTGTTTGGGTAGACTCCATGTAGGACACTACTTCGCTAACTTACAGCCATTATTAATTCTGTAATGTCATGTACGAGCCAATGTTTCGTATTAAATGGCTACGTGCCACATCAAATTAGTTGGCCACTTGCTGCCAGTATGTGAATTCACTGGTCGCTGCGAAAATCCCGAACGCGTGAGACGAGCTCAAGAGCAAGATTCGAAGCGAGTATGTTACGCATCTCGCTGACACCTTCCCCACCTACGTCACCCAAAGCTCGACCGGTTTCGAGAGCCGTCTCACGGAGACGTTAACGCCCAGATAAAGAACCTCCAGCCAAGATACCTAAAATCTTACACGCCACTTCGAGCATCGAATTGAACTAGTTTTAGAGTTAAAGAAAAAGGTTATTCCTTAGACTCGCTTGATGATACCTATTCCGCTCAATAAATTTACCGAAACGCTGTAATAATTCATTGCTAAAGCGTAGGGAGCGGAGAAACTGGCAGAAACTTGAAACGGAACCCAATCTAAGTCCCATTTTGTACGACTAATTTGAGCAGGGCGTCCCTCTCCACCTTGCATCGTGTACTGGATCTGTCAGTTCATTCCTTAATTTACCAGCAACGCTGCAGCCGACTTCAGTCTCGCCTAAGTCCGTCAATTTCGCCAACCATGAACAAGTATCTGGTACGAGGCCTCGGCTTCTTCAACGACGCCTACGATCTCTTCGTCATGAACATCGTTAACGTCGTGCTTACGGAGCAATACGGCAAGCACGTCTACACGTCGTACGTCAAGTCCTGGGTGTCGGCTGCTGCTATCATCGGTGCGGTGATCGGTCAGCTCTTGTTTGGCTTCCTGGGTGACGTTTTCGGTCGCAAGGTCAATATGATCGCCACTTGTGTGCTCCTGATCGTGGGTAGCATCTTGTGTACAGTTGCGTATGGAGGTAGCGGCAGTTCGACGCTGTGGTTCCTGGTCGTGGCCCGTATCATCCTCGGTATCGGTATTGGCGGCGAATACCCACTTGCTGCTTCGTCATCGGCTGAAGACTCGACCAACTCGGCCGAGCGTAACACTCGTGTGGCCACAACCTTCTCGCTGCAAGGAGTGGGTCAGGTGGTGGCTGCCATTCTGGGCAATCTGCTCGTTGAGGCTTTAGCTGACGGTAAGCCTGGCGAGAACAGCGACTCTCGCCTTGAGACCGTGTGGCGTTTGCTTTTTGCTATCGGCTGCATCCCTGCCGTCGTGATCTGCTACTACCGTATCACTGCAGAGGAGACAGAGGCCTATAGAGCTATCCAGGAGCGCTCCAATGCAGTAACCCGCGTCGGTGCCGAGAAGAAAGCTCGCATTTCGTTCATTCTCCGCCACTACTGGGTCAGTCTTCTTGGTACGGCCGGCACCTGGTTCCTCTTCGACATCATCTACTACGCCCAGAACCTCTTCTCGGCCAGTATCCTGTCTGTTATCGGAGTCAAGAACTCGTCACTGCAGCAGGTCACCACTATGAACGCGTTCGTGGCGCTGCTGGCCTTACCTGGTTACTATGTGGCTATCTACTTTATCAACAGTCTGGGTCGTAAGAAGATGGCTCTGCAGGGTTTCTTTTTTATGGGCGTGCTTTGCCTCATCCTGGCTATCTTCTGGGATGACCTGCAAGACCAGACTGTTCTGTTCATCGTCCTGTACGGCCTCACTCTGTTCTTCGCCAACTTCGGCCCCAACACGGCCACTTTCGTCCTACCGACCGAGATGTACCCGACTCCGATCCGATCCACTTGCCACGGTATCTCAGCGGCCTGTGGCAAGGGCGGGGCTGCTATTGGATCGTTCGGTTTCTCTATCTGGGTGTCGAACGAAAGTTTTGGCTACGATGGCGCCTTCTACACGTTCTGCGCCATCGCGTTCGTGTCGATTCCACTGACGTGGTTCTGCGTGTTCGACAACAACGTTCCTATTGAGGAGATGGACGCTGAGTTCTACCGCAAGCTTCACGGTGAGGATGATTTCACACGTGACTCATTCGCTTCAGAGATGGATAAGGAGTCGGATTACAAGTCTGTGAGTACGCCAGCTTCGTCATCGTAAATTGGTAGGTGTGGCCCACGAACAGCATGTGTGATGTAGCAACTGATAGACAAGTACTGCGGCAAAGCTTATTGTCCCCAGATACATTTTACTACTACAGCAGTGCTAGTATACCGTTTAACTTTCATTTGAAAACTGCACAACGATACTTAGTAAACGATAGACAGCGAAGAATCAAAGTGGCCAACCCACTGAGTAAGCAATACACCCCAAATGAACACCGCAAACTCCATAAAAGAATTCCTCCTTTCTTTCTCAAGCTGCTGCAGCGTTGCGAAAGACCGAAAGCTCAAATTTCGACTGAAGGTGCAGAGCTGCGAGTTCTGGTCCTCAAACTGGACCCTGTGGCCAGTGGCTACCTCGGTAACCAATTCGCGAACTCTTGCCACGTCTTCCTAACTGGTGCTACTGTACACAACATACCACCTACGATCTTGTAGCAGGCCACACCATTTAGCCCATCAAGTCCCGGTTGGAAACGACCCAGATGCTGTTCACTCGCATCAATCGCCAGCTTGAAGTATACTGGACGTCCAACAAGTCCGTGACAATCGTCAGTGCATTGGATTTCTTCACACTCAGGTACCACTCCAAGCGACGGAAGGCATCAAGACCGGGCGTCTTGCCCAACCCCATGGCACCTCTCTCCTTCGAATACATCTGCAATATATCGCGAAACACTGACCGCTCTCTCTTTAAGAGAGGAGTCTTCAGCAGTCGCTTCTTCAGCACTTCGCTGGCCTGTCGACAGAGACACTGATGCGTGCCGTGCGCACCACAAACCTGACGAAATCGATCGTTGTAGCGCAGAGTTCCCGGACCGGAACTAGCACGGCGTCTGTGTCGTCACCACGATAGATCTTATGCATCATGTGGATCACTTGTGTGGCCTTGAGCGATAACGACCGTCGCTCGTGACGACGGACTAAAGTTCATGTCCTCATAGATGTCCAGCAGCTCGTCATGGAACGGATAGCGCTCTAGAAATCCCTGCTGGACTAGAGCATTGTAGAGCTGATGGAAGGCTCCACATTTGGAGGAGAGCTCTCCACCTCCGATCATCAAGAACCCCAAGTGGTTCGACAGCATCTGAGAGCCCCATACAGGGGGTTTGACCCGTTCTGTCGCAGGGAAGCCGTCCATAGCGTCCTTCATAAATTATGAAGAAAGACTCGATGCATGCTATTATGACATAATAGCATGCATCGAGTCTTTAATTCTCTCTTGTAGCAGCGACGTTTTGACTATATCGATCAGACTCTCCGAATGGCTAATGGTAAGACTAATATTGCGACTAAGCCCCGCGTCGCCTTGCAGTGCAGTGACAGACTGCATCCAACAAATACAGAGGAAGACGAGTTGGATGGTCACTTTGCATGTGGCCAGGTATGTTTCCAAGGCGTCCATATAGTCAACGACCAGGCCACTTTGGCCTTCATATCCACGTCCCATCATGCCAATTTTGCGGGCGATTGTAATGTGATTAGAACGACATAGTGGTAAACGTCGGGAAATACATACTCCGAGGTTCGCTCCTCCTCGTAGTTTGGGCCGAAATAGCCATCGGGTAGAGCGCTCGGCTGTGCCTTCTCGATCGGTTCGATGGGCGGACAAATTGTCGTAAAGATGAAGTGACCCTTACATTGGTGAAGTCATGGAGTAGCGTACTTTGAATGCTCCGTTAGCCTCGAAGCTCGCTTGTCTCTCAGTGGGTGCCTTTGTGAGTCGAGCAGCAAGACCTGAAGAGGGATAATACACCAACGCTCCGACCAAATCTTCGGCCAGTTTCAACGTCGGATAGCGCACATGGAGCTTGGATGTCAGTAGGTTGGCCATCCGCAGAGCCAAAGTACCAAACACCCCTTCGACATGCTCCTCCAGTTCCTTAAAGTAGCATACAGCCTCCGTCTGTAGATTTTGGGCGAAAGCTTCATTGAAGAGCTTCTTCCTCTCGGCCTTGCTACTTCTTGGAAGCCCCTTTATTTGTGATAAAACTGGGAAATAGTCCTCGTCTTCCTGTAGAACTTGATAATAGTTCTCAAACCGTTGAATCTCCTTCTCAACTGGGAGAACCTGAAGAATGTCAAGACAGGTGGGAGGAAGTGACGGTGGCCGCGCTCCTGGTCGTCGAAGAACAGAGCGACGTGTTCTCGTATGAGTGATGGTCGCTCCTCGGCTACGCCGAGTGGTGACCATTGCGATGAAGGAAGTAGTCGTAACAACAGTAAGTTGCAGGGACTGAAAGTCCAGCAGGGGAGAAAACCGAGTGCTGCTGCTTGCTCTTGACGGCGCAAGTTGTCGAGTGTGTAGCAGCACACGGAAAAACCCCGGTAACATATATTGGTAGGATTAGCAGTAGGATGGGGCTGGCGGCTCGCCAGCCAATGGTCCGTCGAAGTCCGGCTTCTGGACGCGAGCATCGCGTCCTGGAGGCACCTGAGCCTCAGGTTTGAGCTGGACGCAGTCCTGGCTCTTCCTCCACACTTCACACTCCCACTTGATCTAGTCGAAGCGCAGCTTCAACATGATCACCTTGTAGAGCTCACCACGATGTCCTTGGCATCTTCTAGCTGCGCTGCAGCACGACGCTTCGTCCTTGGTAGCGCTCTTCCTCCTTCTTGTCCTTCGTATGCATGAACTGGTAGTAGTAGCTTGCATTCACGCATGGCGATGATGTTTGGCTCCCACTGAACGAGCTGAGCCTTGCTGACGGTCGATGCGCAGCACCTTCATCCCATCACGGCAATGTTCGAACTTGTCCTTCGGCAATGGCTTCGTCATCGCGTCGGCGATCATGTCGTCGGTGCCAACATGGCGAATCCGTAGCTGCTCGTTCTCCACGAGGTGGCGCACCAAGTGGAACTTGTTCATAATGTGCTTGTTCTTGCTGTGCTTGCCAGGCTTGGCAGTCAGATAGATGCACGACTTGTTATCGCCGATAATCTCCGGAGTCGCGAACTCCCAGCATAGTTCTTCACAGAGTCCACGTAGCCACTGTAGATCTCTAGTGCCTTCATTCATGGCAATATACTCTGCTTCCGTTGTGCTCTGTGCGTTATTATCTTGCTTTCTTGATCCGTACGAAACCACGTTACCATTGACGAACGTCACGAACCCGCTAACACTCTTTCGGTCATCAGGGTCATTAGCGTAGTCAGCATCGGTGTAACACGTCAGCTTGACGTCGTTCCCAATAACAATGTCCATCACTAAGCCGTGGTCTTGAGTACCACTCAGGTAGCGTAGCACCCTCTTTCCCATAGCGTAGTGTGTGTGGTCGAAGCAGGACAGGTACTTGCTGAGATTACGCACAGCGTGCGCAATGTCCGGCCTTGAGGCTGAGACCAGATATTGTAGTGCACCAACGAGCTCTCGGTACGGGGGCGGGGAGTCATCTTTCGCATCTGTGACCACCTCAGCGCGCAGCGCTTCCGGTGTTGCAACCGCGTTGCACCCCTCCATGTGAAATCGCTTTAGCACCTCCGTAATGTGTTGCCGCTGGCAAAATACCGCATGTCGACGCTCGCTGTCGATCAGTATCTCCACGCCTAGTAGATACTTGACTGGTCCGAGAGATGTGAGTTCATACTCCTCACTGAGTTGCATAGCAACCTTAGCGCAAAGGTCATTAGGGCCGAGGAGAAGTAGGTCGTCGACGTACACCGTGAGCAACATGGTGACTTCTCCTCCCACTTTCCTGGCGTAGAGTCCGTAGTCAGAGTCGAGGCGCTCGAGTCCGATCTTCGTCAGGAACTTGTGCAATGTCTTGTTCCAAACGCGAGGCGCTTGCTTTAGCCCATACAAACTCTTCTGTAGCTTGCATACATAGCGCGTAGAGTCTTCTCCGAAGCCTGGAGGCTGCTCCATGTAGACCTCCTCGTCGAGGTCACCGTACAAGAACGCGGTCTTGACGTCGAACTGCAAGATGGCCCATCCGCGTTGCAGCGCGTATACGATCACGCATCTGATCGTCTCAAATCTGATAACAGGTGCGTATGTTTCACTGTAGTCGATGCCCATGCGTTGTAGAAAGCCTCTGATCACTAGTCGAGCTTTATATCGCTTAATCCGGCCCGTAGAGTCTCTCTTGAGCGCGTACACCCACTTGCACGAAATGACACGCTTGCCCTTGGCCTCCGTGCGTCGCACGAGCACCCAAGTTTCGTGCTGCTGCTGTGAGTCCATCTCAACTTGCATCGCTGCTTTCCACTCCTTCCACTTCTTTGACCTTGCCGCATGCTTGTGACTAATGGGGATCTGCACATCCTCGACGTTCTGCTTCGTCACATTCGTCACTACGTAGTCCTTGAGTCGGGCGGATGGTTGTCGCTTCCGCTTCGGTCGCGACGTAGCTGCACTGTCGTCTGGCGACGACTTCTGCGTCGTGCATGGCTCCCAGTTCTCGTCTTCGTGAGCATCACGTCGACTGTCCTTGGCCTTCGAGGCTCCCACTCGATTTGCACATGCTTTCGCTTTATTCTTGCCTTTTGTGTTCTTCCGCTTGGAACCTCCCACTGAAGCTGCTGGCTTCTTAGCGTCCTCGCTTGGTAGCTGTGGGTCATCACTTCGAGTCGCAGACTCGGCTTCAACTTCAACACCTTGGTCATGGCTCTCACCAGCAGTGGCCAGCTTCGCCATCTCCGCTGCTCGCCTTTCTGCAAGCTCTGCAGGAAGCTGCAGGTACGTAGACATTGTCGTCCGGATCGGCACGATCGGGATCTCCGCAGGTAAGTCGTAGTCTCCGTAAGCGTAGGTGTTTGCAAGAAGTTGCTCAATATACACAGTGTTTACCGTGTACTTCTCATGTGCCTTCATGTTTCCATCTCTGCACGTCGTCACTGATCCTGTGCGCAGGTTCAGCAGCTTATAGCCCTTGGTCTTCTCGCTGTAGCCAAGTAGTAAGCACATCTGCGTCCTTGGAGTGAGCTTCTCCTTTCTCTGCCGAGAATCATCAGGGATGTGCGCGTGCACCAAGCACCCCCACGTGCGCAGCACGCTGAGGTCTGGCCGCTCTCCGTACAGGGCCTCGTACGGGGACTGCTGGTCCTTCAACACCGGCGTCGGCGTCTTGTTGAGCGTCTCAATTGCATGTAGGAAGGCTTCTCCCCATAATGAAACAGGCATTTGCGTAGCTTGTAACATAGATCTGACCTGCCGCATGACGGTCTGGTTCGTGCGCTCCACGATAGCGTTCTCCTGCGGGCTGTAGGGATTGGATGAACGCGTGTCGATGCCGAGGTCCTTGCAGAAGGTCTCGAGCTGCATGTTGACGAACTCGCCACCACCATCGGAGAACAGCGTCTTGATGGTCGCCTTCGGGAACTGGTTCTGGATCCAGCGAATCTGCTTCTGAATCAGCTCCGTGGCTTCGTCTTTGTAGGCTAATAGATATCCCCACTTGTATCTCGTAGCTTCGTCGATAATCAATAGAAACTGGTTTGATTTCGATATTGTATCCACTCCAATACTGCATAGGTCGACACAAAGCTTGTGCAAGGGTTTTTCAGAGCGAGACGGCTTGCGCTTGTAGCTCATGCGCTTCGTCTTTGACTCTAAGCATGGAATGCATTCATAGAGAGCAAAATTCTTCGACTGCATGTTGATGCCAAAGTTATAGGTTCCTGCCATAGTCTTGATAGTCTCCATGTTTACGTGGCCCATGCGGTTGTGCAGCAACGTCATGGGGTTCTCAGCTTCACTGGCCTTGACGCTCATCACGTTCTTGCTCTGACGTGGCGTCCCACATGCGGTACATCCTCGCGGATGTACTGGAAGCGCAGCTTCAATGTGTCCTTGACCTAGCCACGTAGTCTTCTGATCATGCGAGATGCGCACCTTGAAGTTTCCTTTGAATTGCATGTAGGTCTGCGAGATCAGGTTGTAGGCAGCCGACTTGGCGTAGCTCACGTCATCAAGGAGGCGCTCCTCGATCTTGCCCGTGTGCTCGTTCAGCACTTGCATAAGCACTGTGCCTACAGTTGCGCGCTCGGTTGTGCCGTTGCCGAAGACTAGTTCTGCAACTGAGTCTTCGTGTAGCTCCGTAAACAAGGTAAGGTCGCTCGAGACGTTGGTCTGCGCGCCGCTATCCAACACCCACTCCACCATGTCCTGGTCCTTGTCCTTGTCCTTGTAGTTGAAGTTGTCACGCACCGCGAGTACATGCTCTTGTCCTTCAGCTTGAGTCGGTGCAGCCGACTTGGCTGTCTTCACAGTAACCACATCGATCATCCTGCGCGGCGGGTTGCTCGAGTTGTTGTTGTTGTTATTGTTGCCACGCTGGCGGCACTCAGGATCGCCACTCCAATGTCCTTGCTTTCCGCACGTGTTGCACTTCGTCTTCGCCTTTCGCTTGGCGATGTCATCCCTCGCACTGGATGAGCTCTTGCTCTTCTGCCGCTTGTTCCGCCCACGCGGCGATGAGCTGCGGCTGCGACGATTGTTGCGGTTGTTGTTGCCTCGTGCTTGACTGCTGCTCGAGTTTCGACGTCCTCTTCCGTCGTTGTGTCCGTCGCCACGGCCACCACCAAATGCGACATCTCGCTGGACGGCACGTCTACCTCCACCACGTCCTTGCTGTAGTTCAGTCTCTTGGCGTGAGTGGTCAGCGAGTCGAAGGCGCTCGATCGCTTGCTCCCACGTAATGGACTCATCACGTCCAATACGTACTTCATGCTCGTTTACCACCGCTGGGTACACACCCACTGTATTCGACAATAGGATAGAGACGGCTTCCTGCTCAGGCAGCTGCTTATTCGCGCGGCGAAGTCTCTGTTGGTAGTCGTCGATGTCACGAATGTAATCGTCAAGTCGTTCGTCACGTTGCAGGCGACGATTCAGCATATCTCGCTTGAGAAACACGCTGTTTACTCCAGGATGGTTATCAAAATGATCTTCCAGTGTTCGCCACAGTAGGATAGGATCAGCACGTTGAATAACACTTGTAAATCGCATCTGTAGTTCTTGACTAAGTCCCATCGTAAGTTCACGTTGAGCAACACGCAGTCGTTGCTTGAAACAGCCGCGCTGTCCTTCGTTACGTTGGTCTGCCATCGTTTCGCGCTCCATGATGGGGTCCAAGAGGTGTGCGACGTCGAGAATGGAGCAAATCTCGACGCGCCACGTCTGGTAGTTGGTATCGGTAAGTCTTGCGTTCAACTGCACGTGTCCGCTCTGGTTCATGCACCGCGTGCATCTGTGGTCTCCAACCATGGGTTCGTCCGTAGCGGAGTCGGTCCCGGCCTCGGTCTGGACTGGCTGCGCTGCAGCCTCGGACGTTCTTGGGTTTCTTGGCGGCTCGCTCTGACGCGTGCTGGCGTCGGCGGTAAGTTCCTCTGTGCTTGGGTTTCCTCGGCGGGGCCCGTACGGCGTCGGCACTCGCTGCGGTTGTGCTCGAGCCGCTGAGAATTCTTGAATGAGCTGCCTTTGTGGGCGTCGGGTGGATGCTTCCACTGGAATGTTCTGCACTTGCTGCTGATTGGTCAGTGTAGTCATAACGGTACCGAATTGGGCCAATAAGAGCTCGAGTTGTTGCTCAACTCGGGTTGATGACGCTTGTGACGTCGCATGTGTCTCGTCTGACGTTGTCTCGTCTGCTCTTGCAGGCAACTGCAACTCGTCGGACGCGCGCGAGCTCTGCGTACTCCGGACTGGGCTTCCAGCTCTCCTTCTTGGGCTCATAACCTGAGTGATGGTCGCTCCTCGGCTACGCCGAGTGGTGACCATTGCGATGAAGGAAGTAGTCGTAACAACAGTAAGTTGCAGGGACTGAAAGTCCAGCAGGGGAGAAAACCGAGTGCTGCTGCTTGCTCTTGACGGCGCAAGTTGTCGAGTGTGTAGCAGCACACGGAAAAACCCCGGTAACATATATTGGTAGGATTAGCAGTAGGATGGGGCTGGCGGCTCGCCAGCCAATGGTCCGTCGAAGTCCGGCTTCTGGACGCGAGCATCGCGTCCTGGAGGCACCTGAGCCTCAGGTTTGAGCTGGACGCAGTCCTGGCTCTTCCTCCACACTTCACATCGTAGTGTGATGGCGCATTGGCAAGCTCCCAGCGCTTTGGGCAGGTACTGCAGCAGCTTGGGCGCGAGTGTCGAAGGGTCCGTAGCGACGTCTTTCACGACGTCATTGAACGCGTCGAGGTCCAGACGCTTACCCGCGAAACGTCCGCGACCGCGTGTGCTGGTAGAAACCAGTCTAGGAAGAAGGCAGTGGCGCACGTGTACCGCGAGTACTTGCTCGCTGGGATAGAAGCTTCGGGCTCTGGATAATGACTGGAAATGATGCTTGGATAAAAATCTACATTTAATTTATTACCTGCGGTAATGTATGGTTATTAGTTATTGAGATCTAGCTCTCTTGCTGTCCGAGTTTTTTTATCAGAAGAAGCCCCGTCAAAACTCATACCGGTATACATGACGTGGATCTCAAAGAAGCGGCATTCTGTATTTCGCAATTGAAGCCGCAACATAACGATATCTTTTGGAGGGATGAAAGGCTTATCGCACGGCTGAAATTCTACCATGATTAACGACCTTCTCATTGACAAGCCCTTCAGCCCGAAGGACAACATACGTAAAGCAAACCCAATCGCAACCTTAAAAAAATTTGAGCACTTGAATAGGTTTTTACATAAAGATTGGGAAGAATACTTCCATACATTTGGTTTGTGCTACCTACCGCAAATCTACTGAGGGGTGGTGGTGGACTTGTACACACCGTCCTTCTCTAGGTCGCTCTGCTTGATGACCGAGTTGAACGACTCGCGGGTGAAGTCGTCGGCGCCGTGCAGCTTTTGGTAGAACTCGGCGTCCATCTCGTCGAAGCCCTGCTCGTTGTCGAACATGCAGAACCAGGTGAGCGGGATCGACACGAACGTGATGGCAGCGAACGTGTAGAAGGCGCCGTCGTAGCCGAAGCTCTCGTTCTCGACCCAGATGGAGAAACCGAACGAGCCGATGGCGGCACCGGCCTTACCGGCAGCAGCCGACAAACCGTGGCACGTCGAACGGATGGGCGTGGGGAACATCTCCGTAGGCATGACGAAGGTGGACATGTTGGGACCGAAGTTGGAGAAGAAGAGAGCAAGACCGTAGAGGATGATGAAGAGTACGGCCTCCTCCTGAATGTCATCCCAGAAGATGGCCAGCACCAGGAACAGGATCGTCATGACCACGAAACCCTGCAGCTGGATGACCTTGCGACCCAAGCGGTTGATGAAGTATACAGCGACGTAGTAACCGGGCAGAGCCATCATAGCAACGAAGGCGTTCTGGGTCGTCACCTCCTGCAGCGAGGCATTCTCGACACCGACAACAGACAGGATACTGGCAGAGAACAAGTTCTGGGCGTAGAAAACAATGTCGAACAGGAACCACGTGCCAGCCGTACCCAGAAGGCTGACGCCGTAGTTGCGAATGATGAACGAAAGACGAGCACGCGAGGCTGTCGGGTTAGCATTAGCCGCAGCCTGGCGACGCTCCTCAGCGGCCTTGTAGGCGTCGGTCTCCTCAGCGGTGATACGCCAGTAGCACACAACGATGGCGGGCATGACACCAATAGCAAACAGCAGACGCCACACAGTCTCAAGACGAGATTTAGAGTTCTCGTCCTTGTCGGCGCTAGCTAGAGCCTGGATGATCAGGTTGCCCAGAATGGCAGCAGTCAGCGAACCCACTCCCTGCAGAGAGAACGTAAGAGCCACACGCTGGTTGCGGTCGGCCACGGACGTAGCATCCTCAGCCGTCGACGAAGCAGCAAGCGGGTACTCGCCGCCGATACCGATACCGAGGATGAAGCGGGCTACAACGAGGAACCACAGAGTAGCCTCGGCAGTGCCACCGTAGGCGGCCGTACAGAGGATTCCACCGAAGATGAGCAGGGCGCACGTGGCAATCATGTTGACACGACGACCGAATACATCACCAAGGTAGCCGAACGCCAGCTGGCCCACAACGGCACCGATGAGGGCCGCGGCGGACACCCACGACTTCATGGTGGACGTGTACACGTGCTTGCCGTACTGCTCCGTGAGCACAATGTTGATCACGTTCATCACGAAGAGATCGTAGGCATCGTTGAAGAAGCCGAGGCCTCGCACCAGGAACTTGTTCATCTTTCTGCGCTTGGGAGTCCTGTGGGCTTGCGAGGATCTGAGCAAAATGCGGAATGACCCAATGTCAAAGCTGAGTGTGGCGCCAAGACAGACGACGACACCAGCTGAAAAAGCTTAGCGGATATCTTGGTGGTTGGCCGCGAAGCTTCGCCTTACCCGCGATAGGCATCTGATTAGAAAATGGGCAAATAAAAAAAAAACACAGTGAAACGGTACAGGTTGCAGATTTTGTAGTGGTACAGAGACCTCTATTAATACCAGATGATGAATAGCCGGTGCGCTTGCACCCTCGAGATTCGCTGGGGCCCGAGCTCCTTCCGCTGCTAACGGATGCTAACGCAGTGGAATCTGGAGAGATTCCTGGTTGCACTCCTTCGCACGACGTTCAAAGTCAACAGATCGGCCAGCATGGCGAAAAAGGGGGGGGGGCTCGCATTTTGTACATGCAAGATTAAAAATGGGCAGCTTAAATTAAACTGGGCTTGGCCGAAATTAACGCGGCACCACCAAGCGTGTGCCAATGTTTTTTCGGCAACGATCTCTTGGGAAAGACGCAGTGTTCCGGTTGAGTAAAGGGTTGCTGTGAGAGTGCTAATACATCCTGAAGCTTTTTCAAAGCACTTCTGCCCACTCGACTTGATTCTCTGTCGCTTTGGCCTGTGTTTCTAATTCCCCTATTCCCCTGACTATCCCCGCAATGCTTGTTTTGTAGGTTAACTCCAAAAAGCCGGTCTGGGTCAGCAGCTAGTTTTCGGTCAGTTTCGAGACATAGACTACCGATTTACTGGGACAATTCCAGTATTCGATTAAGCCAAACCGTGTATTACCTACTTCGCAATTGTTAGCGTTTGGGTTCATTTCGTCAAACTAATTTTGTCGTGCACCGAGAATGTGAACTAGTATATGTACGATTTGGGAATCCGCTTTCGGAGCCGCAGCTCCACCTCACTGAGGAGGGCGATGGGGGGACGCCCACCTCAGTGAGCAGGGCACTTGATCTTGAGCACATGCACACGGCGGGCCGGCATCAGTTTGAGACGGTGTCAGTGTCCGGTTTGTTGTTCGTTGTGCAGGCTTCGATAATGCGACCGAAAAGAGCTAAAATCTGCAGATTCGTCCAAATCAAAATCGGACTCTCCTATGAACCGTACCAAAATCGCAAAGTCAGGACATCATGTCCCAGAGACTGTGCAAGTCTAAAGAGATTAAAAAAATCCGCCGGTCCATTTCTATTTAAAAACCAGCAATCTGCGCGAAGATAATGTGGAGCATCTCTTTGAGTGAACGTGCTGCTGTCTTGGTACGTGCACATGTATGTACACTGTACATGTATTTAATACTGTAAGCAAGCTCTGACGCTCTTGGCAGCTCACCAGGATGTACAATCGGCACTTTCGTTCTCGTACCGTGAATTTCGCCTACCGAATAACCTTAGCTATGAATTACTCTTTGTTATCAATTACACTTCAATGTGGCCAATCAGAAGCCGCCAAACGCTGAGTGGGAAAAGAAGCCGTGCATCCTTAGTTATCAATTACACGACTTGACAACCAGTAATTTGCGTACATTATCCAGTATTCTCAAAGCCGCAGATGAGTCCAACGCAACGAAAACGCCCAAAGGGGAGGCCTCGCCTATTTGGTGGCAAGGGCCGCCAGCACCAACGAACACCATTACGGCGTACATCTCTTCACAAGATCGTCGCTGCGTGTACAGTCCCTAAAGAAGCCAAGAAGATGAAGGCACGTTGTAGTGGTGTAGCTACCGCTCTACCTTACTCAGTAGAGTTGAAACTTGTTCACTGGGTCGGGGACCTACGGGACGAAGGGGTGCCAATCACACCAATGATGCTAAGGTTGCAGGCACTCGCAGAAGCTAACGAAGCCGGTATCCACGCGTTCACGACATCCTGGAGTTGGCAGAGCCTGTTTAAAGGCCGCCATCGCTTAGCCCTTCGAGCTAAGACCCGCCAGGGTCAAATTTGCCCTCCCGAGCTCGACTTCTGGTCTCTGCACTGCAGATTGGGTGTAATGCATAACTAAGGTAATTCGGTACTGTACAAGTACGAAATTTATGGCTATTGAGGTCGTTCATTCAGGGAGGGACTCGCAGTCGGACCTACCATTGATAATATCGCAGGTGACTGCTTTGAACATCTCCTTTACCTAATTGGAGATATGAAAAGCACTACTATAAAAAACAGTTCACTGGATTGTTTTATGCGGGGCTCCATCGTACACAATGGCCATGGCTGGTAGAAAGCGAAGGCAGCACGAGACATTGGAGCGTTTCGTTTTAAGGGATCCAGGCTGCCAACGCTGCCCCATGCGGCGTTATTGACGTTGAACTAGCTACAGTAGAGTCAATTGCTGTAGTAAAAGTTCAGAAATCAGCTTTAATTTATCTTTCTCGGCCAAGTTAAATGACCTGATCATGGTACGGACGCACTGCGAGAAAGCACCGGAGCTTCGGGTGTCAATGGAGTTTCCGCTATCGATTTGAGCTTGATCGCTGCCTCCTCTACACTTTGAGGCTCATTTTTGCTCCCTCGGCGGCGATACACTCGAGAAGAAGAACTTTACGCAACAGTGGGCGATGTTCCCGTACGAGTCTCGCAAGCCGCAATTGGCGCTGCGTCGCCGATAAATTGGTCACCTTCTGTAGTGTTTCACCCATTCGGTCGTGCCAAAGCGACCACTTATCGTACTCGTCGTTTTCCACGGGTACAAGGAGCTTGCGCTGTGCACGTTGACGCGCCACCTCCGCAGACCACGAGAACGCATAGCCACACAAGCAATTTAACGTGTTACACCCATCCACCATAACAACTGTGACGTTACAGCCGCGACATTCCACGACGTTTTCATCCTCGATAAAGTCTCGACAGTCTCCACCGTGGTGGTTGGTGGCCTTGCACTTAAAGCAGACCTTAGCGCCACAGCAAATCGTATGCGTGTCCGGGTTCTTGTTCAAGTGACGCAGTAGTAGTGCTGCACGTCGCTCTTCGTCTACAATCTGTGGTAGCAGTCTCAACAAGACGTGCTCCGTATTGCTCTTAAATTTTTTCGATAAAAAGCTGTAAAATTCCGCTGCATCGAGACGATGATAGCAGTATTCTACACCACATTGATACAATCCATTTAGAGCTTCAACCTGCTCAGCTGGCAGCTCTAATTGGTCGTCTTCGTCGTCTCCATCCTCCGACTTTGCATACCGTTCGGGTAGCATTGTGTAGTCGGCAAGATGACAGCATGGACTCTGGAAGCCGCAGCTTTGACGACACAGCATCACATATTTATCCAATACGTGTCTGCTGCCATCTTGTTGCTGTTGTTGCTCCTCGTAGTTTATTTCTTGTTCAGGTACTTGGGTATCTTGTTGCGCTGACGTTGCTGGAAGAACGAACTGCTCCCATTGGTTCTTATTGAGTAGATTGAGACACACTGGACAACGAACTTTAGGTAGAACACCCGGGTAGAAGGAGTAGATACTGGAGGTGAGATGGCGTACCAGGCATTTGCCACAGACCTCGGCCAGACACTCGGCGCCGCACAGCTGAAAGACGGAAGATGGTGCGTCCATACAGATCTGGCATATAACGGGGAAAGGCTCCTGGTCGACGAGTGTTAAGGTGGCGGGTGCGACGTCATCTAAAGCAGTTGCTATGACCGAAACACGCTGAGTAGAGGCTGCCATGGCGGAAGGATGGCTAGTCGAGGAATGAGAGCATTATGCCAACTTCGAGCTGAAGTTGGGTACAGAAGATATGACCATCACTCAAGCGAACCTTGTTAAAATATAGCGGCATAGAGGCAAATGTACCTTTAGTCTAAAAACTAGGAAAAAAAATTAAAAGTTTTAAACTAAGATTGGCCATGTTTGTAGTTTTAATAATTTAAAACACTTACAAATTTTACATTTCTGAATTGTCAACCACTCACGACGCACAGCAGTTCTTCTTCTCGCCATTTTAGAAGCCCAGACCCCTACACCGCTCAGGACGCCCCTTCTCACTCCCCCCTCAGTGTAACGCATTTTTACTAATACAAGCCCCGTTACGGTACTGCCTATGAGACCTGGGTGCCTGGCGTACCTCACCTTCTCTAAAACCTGCAGCTTGAATTGATTGTTGTATTTCTGGGCTCGCCCACTAAGTCACTTTGTTTCAGTATGATTTAGTTAACGGAGACTGCGGTTCTCCCGCAATCTCAAATCGGGCGAGCAGTGTCTTCATCGTTGCTTTCCTCTTGTGCTAGTGACCTGTTTCAGTATTTTATTCAGTAAGCGGTCACCTATCATCAAGCGCGCTGAGTTATGAGCCCAAAGCCTCAGCTTGAGTTCTGTCAACTTGAAGACAAGATAATTTGCTTCGCCCGTTTGCTAGACCCCAGCAGCGTCTGCTTCGTTGTCATGGAAGCAGCAGCATCAGCGACAACATCAGTTAGCACATAGAGCTCTTCAAGGGTGGATCGGATCAAGTGGAATCGGCGGTGCTGCGGCTGGTGGGGGCCAAATTGGTGGCAGCGTGGCTGTCACAGCTAAAACCACTAAATATCAACGTGCGACTATTTCAGTAAGTGCTCTTACTCCAGCTCAGGTTGCTCTTGCAATTTGGTCTGCAAGCTATGGGCAGGGTTTCCAAACTGAAGCTCCGATGGCTGCGAGTTCTTTAAAAAAAATGCCTGCTCAATATGCCTCCCCCCACTTCATCCAATCTTACAAGACCTTCCCTATCATGACCCTATCCCCAAATGACGTTTCTCTTCCAAGGACGGACCCACAATGGAGGGTAGTTTTAGCTTGTATCAGGCTCAATTGAGCTTATTTCTGGAGTGCTTTAAAGCATGGGGTTGGTGAATGGATCAATTCAGCGGTCAGTACTGCCTGGCTATGATCAAGACAAATACGACGAGCTAGATGAAATCGTTAAGGACTCTATCCTTCGCGGTGTTAAGAAGGAGGACGCGGAAAGAATATGTGACTTTACCACGGGACGCGCAAGGTGAGTGATTCTGGGGCCACACTACACTAAAAGGGAGTTTGTAAGCTGTAGATGACTGGTGAAGAAAGTTTTACACGCTGCTTATACTCGAGACCCGACAATGGACGAAGGACGTGAAGGAGTTCACGAAACACGTTGCGCACTGGCTAATATGAAGCGTGCCATAGATGCACACTTTCATGGTCTATATCATCTTGATGGACGTAGTGCAAACCCATCGCACTGTCGTGCGTCAGTTCTCGAGGACTCTCACATCTGACTGTCGTCTAGCGCTCGTTCAATTAGCCAGCGCTCTAACATCCGAGACAAAAGTAGATGAGATCGTGACGAGAAAGAAGGCTCGTGCAGCGGGGTTGCCGTAGCTTTAGCGTCAGAGGAAGACATTCGACTCAAAGAGTCCGTAATACAAAGTTCATTATCCCAAGGAACCTTAGCACAGCCCTATAACCAGGGATTACGTATTAATAGCTCAAAATAACTCTCCTGCTTCAAAAGCTTAAGTGTTTTATTTACCTTTTATTGCGGCCAAGCCGCCTAGAGGTAAATGTATATGTTTAACTATCTAGCATAGTTAAAGCTAATCAAATGTCTAATTTAATGGGCCTAGTTTAAGCCCACTACTTCGGCTTACACATTAGCGCACGTGTATGAGGAAGCGTAAATTGCGCTTCACTTAGATAAACTATACTTTCGTCCGAAAGTACAGATTTACTTAAATAGGAAAGCAAAACCGATTTCCGGTAAAATGAGAGCTGTTTATTTGTTTGTTTGGGTTTTCCTCCTAATCTACTATTCTAAATGAAAGGAATTTATCAACGAATGGTTGACAGAATCCTACTATTCTAATCGGCTGAATATATTGACTTTCAACCCATGAATGCCTTGAATGCATACAGACCAACAGTCTGCCACATGTAACCATTGGTGTCTCTCACATCAATGTAGAAAACCTTTTTCGTAACCTAGTGGCTATGTGTAGCCACTTGCGTATAACCACGTTACCCCCCCCATCTGTTATGCTAAGACTCTCTTGTCTTAACACATCATTCAAACTATTGACGAGCCCGTCAAAACGTTTGAGAAACCCGAGTTCATTTCGCAATGAGCTCGCCGAAGAAGAAACCCGCGCAAGAGTCTGCTCCGGTAGATATGCCTGCACGTGCAGGCACTACCACTTCAGTGTCCGCGCAGGTGACACGCTCGCGACACAAGGTAATCTTTCTGTCACGCAATATCACGCAATGTTCAAGCAAAAGCGTGCACAAGTTACGACTGACAAGCCGTCAGTCGTCATTGAAGGATCGTCCGTTATGTCTCCCGGTGGAGACATACCCATTGACTATGGGTCTGACCTTTAAGACGTCCCCATGGAGGACGAGGACACCTCGTCTTCAGCTGTCGACTCTAAGTCAACCAAGCTAACGCCCGATCCTCCTGCTGGGTCGCGGCGTGGCCGTGACGATGATTAGGAAGCTCCCGAATCGAAGCGTCCGCGTAATGAAGAAGAGGCGCAGCCACCTGTGCCGGTGCCGCCTTCTTCTTCGCGTACTGCAGCGCTCCCTGAATGCCAACCACATGCGAAATTGCTGACAGGTTCGGCGCGACATCGCCGCCGAACCGATATGATTGTATTTGTGCAGCACCATCAATGATGACGCTCAGGCCGTCGACACGTACTTTGATTTGTCAGCGAATCAAAGGCACGACTAATACATCGGACGCTTCCATGGGCTCCGATGGAATGCGTCGAAGAAGACTTCGCGCAAAAGCAGAGTGCCCGAGGAGGTGGCACTTTGTCAGTCTTGGAACGTATTTGTTGTGACCTTCAACAACCATGTGAAAGGCTACCGCGAGCGTATTTTCACGGCTCACCAGCGCTTCGAGACCATCTCAAAACGTAATCTCATCGATCGCCTCCATAATGCCGCTATGGAAACGGGAATCCCCTGGGCGGCTCCACCTGAAACTGCGTGCTCGCACTGACGAGGAGGGGCAGTGTGCCTTTCTGAACGCGATGTTCTCGGATACACTTCTGTACGCGTACCCGCTCCTCTGCGAGACCTCCGTGCTCAACTTGAGCACCGTGATGCGCCCCGTGCTGGTGGCTCTAGCAGTTTTAGTGCATGCATTATGCCTGCACTCGGTTCTGGACCTCGTACGCCCTCACCATTGCCGGAACGTCCTTCATCAGGACATCCCGTGCCCCCCCCCTCGATCTCGATGGGGAGGAAATCCTCTCCAACGAATACGAAGACGAGCCTGAGCTCGATTCTTCTTCGGGGCTTCATAGTCCACGACTCCCTCGACGATCCGACGTGTCGAGCCGTCCGCGTCACGCAGCGGTGGTGGCGGGGGCGGAAAGATAACCTTCGTATGGCCAACCCCACCTTGACCATAGCCCTCGCTCTACACGATCGTGTCGTCGTTCTGGAACAATCCCAGAGCGCGGAGTTCGCTGCTCTGCAACTGGATCTGCGCCTACAGAAATCGCAGGTCGTTGAGGCTGCTCCGGCCGCTTCGAACATCCAAGTCGCACTTGGATCAGAGCTGAGGCGCCTCCACGACCGCGTCGTCGCGCTCGAGAAGCTGGCTCACGCCGCTTCGTCGTCCTCGAGCCATCAAGACTAGATGGGTCGTGTTGCCCGTGGGGCTTCGGCCGCCTGACGTAAAATGTCGGATGAAGTCGCATGCTGGACGGTACGTTCAACGCTTACGCGTTTCCATGCCGTTCAAGTATTGTGAGCGGGCCGATGAAGCTCGAAGCAAGCCTGCTTGCACCGAAGTCAGAGACTGTATGTCGTGGTCTCGTGTAGCTAACAGAACTGACGAACCCTTTTTGACCACATTTGTGTTGCCTCTACCGACATTGTCTGCGCTCAGCTTCTGTTTGTCTACAGAAGCTGCTATTGCTGGACAAACGTATTACGGCTTGTCGGCGATGGACAATATCCACTGATTGCGTGCTGAATGGCTTGTTCAGCACGGCTTCTTTCTCCGCCGGAGACCTGGCCTGCGCGGTGTATGTGCCCCGCACAGACACGGTGTTCTGTGTCTTCCCCTCGCTCCCGGAATGAGACGCTTGTCTTCGCGTCGTCACAGCTGATACCACGTCGGTGTCAGTGTTCTCATGCAGCAATTGCAACGCAACCGTAAATCTTCCCCTACATAAGGATTAACTCACCCCTTCCAAGCAAGCTTGGAAGGCGTAGATGCCGCATGGCATTCACGTAAAACAGGGTATGCCCTGTTGAGGCATGCACCGAGTGGTTGATGGCAAACTCTGCCATCGGCGACAAGTCGCTTCACTGTGGGAGCGAGTGTATGTAGCTCTTCAGTACGTCACCGATCACGCGATTCACGAGCTCGGTCTGTCCGTCCGTCCGTCTGCGGATGAAACGCAGTCGCCATCGACAGCTGTGTTTCAAGAAGTGTGAACACCTCTTGCCAGAACCGCGCTGTAAAGCGTGGATCACGGTCCGACACAATGTCGAGTGGCATTCCATGGTGTTGGACCACCATGTCAACAAACAGTCGTGCAGTCTGCAAGGTCGTGACCAGCCGGTACTGCAGCAAGATGAAC